AGAAGTATACTGAGTATCTTAATTTATAGAATGTGATGTGGAAAACATGAGCCCAGAAGTTCCCAAAGAGCTTTTTACAGGTACCTAAATGAGCCAAATTGTTGCTTTCAAATCCCTAGGATTTAAAGAAACAAGAAATACACTGGCACTGAAAACATATCGTCCACTTCTTATGGCAGCAACTCCTTTGTAAGTCATATTTGTAACAGAGCCAAAATCATTATACAGCAGCATTCTTTCAAAGAGTATTTATTGAAGTGAAGTGAAGTCGCTCAGTCGTGTCTGACTCTTTGAGAACCTATGGACTGTAGCCTACCAGGATCCTCAGTCCATTGGATTTTCCAGGCAAGAATACTGGAGTGGGTTGCCATTTCCTTCTCCACAGGATCTTACCAACCCAGGGATCGAACCAGGTCTCCCGCATTGTAGGCAGACACTTTAACATCTGAGCTACTAGGGAAGCACCTATTAAAGGTGAGACACAGTATTAGCACTCTATTACTATGGATATACTCTCTATAGTATATAAAGTCTGAGCAATATAAAAATATATGATACATTTATGACATGTTTGACAATTTCAATACAATTAATTTTTTATTCACTCTATTCAGACTACAATATATATAGTATTTAGATAATAAACAATATGCTCTTTATATCAAATTATTCTTTAATGAGATTATGATCAGTTTGACGGTAAAACATTGTACCATATGATAATTCAGTGAAGCATAAAGAGAAGGTTGGTATGCAAATATAATCATTTATTAACTCATTCCTCAACTACCATGTATGTTAGATATGTTTCAATCCCTTTGTTAGAGACTGAAGAGTACAAAGATAAATAAAACAGTCCCTGCCCAGAAATTGCTTACAATTTAGTTGAGAAGACAAAGTACCCAATCAAGCTGATATGACTAAAGTACATTTCAAGTACAAGGGAGACAGAAAGCGGGTATGGAACATTTCTACTCAGGATTCAAGAAAATCTGAGACAAAATACCTCTTCAGACTATAGCTGTTGCACATGATATTTTGAAGCCAAACATTGAATTTCACATTGATTCTTGCTGAATAAAAATAAAGAATCAATAAGTCACGTGTATTATTAGAAAAAATTTAAAGCAGTTAATTCTATGTACTCCTTAAAACAAACATGTTAGGTAGATGAATCAGAGATCCTATTTTACAGATGAGGAAATTAAGACTAACTTTAGTTCACTTATTCAAGAAGTCACCTCTATGGATGGGTTAAGTAACCTTATTGTGGTGAAGATTTCACAATGCGTATGTGCAGCAAATCATCACATTTTACACCTTGAACTTACAGCAGGTATATGCCAATTACATCTCAATAAAGCTGGGGGAATACAAGAATCAGGAGAGAAAATGTAACCTTTCATTTGCATTTCTCTCTATGCAGGGAATTATGGAGCACAGAAGGAGAGGAAACATTTCCTAATATGAGATTCTGACTTAAGGAAATTCATTAATAATCCATATTTTCATCTGTTAATTTTTTCACTCTTGATTTCCTTCTGCTATTCATTCACTATTGTTTATTCATCCATTTTTTATTTATTCTTTTATATTGCCATCACATCATTAGACAATATTTGAATTAAGGCTCTATAGTGGTCGAGTGTGGATGGGCAAAGTTTTTGACACAGCTGCTCCTTTAGCGAGCTCAAATTTCTTGAGAGGAAGCAGATAGATACTAAAGAGTAGGAGAAAGTTTCAGGAGAGATATAAACAAAGGGTCATTAAGTACAATGGACAGTTAAATTCAGTTCAGTCACTCAGTCATGCCTTACTCTTTGCAACCCCATGAACCACAGCACACCAGGCCTCCCTGTCCAGCCCAACTCCCGGAGTCCACCCAAACCCATGTCCATTGAGTTGCTGATGCCATCCAACCATCTCATCCTCTGTTGTCCCCTTCTCCTCCTGCCCTCAATATTTCCCAGAGTCAGGGTCTTTTCCAATGAGTCAGCTCTTTGTATCAGGAGGCCAAATTATTGGAGTTTCAGCTTCAACATCAGTCCTACCAATGAACACCCGGGACTGATCTCCTTTAGGATGGACTGGTTGGATCTCCTTGCAGTCCAAGGGACTCTCAAGAGTCCTCTCCAACACCACAGTTCAAAAGCATCAAATCTTAGGTGCTCAGCTTTCTTTATAGTCCAACTCTCACAACCATACATGACCACTAGAAAAACCATAGCCTTGACTAGATGGACCTTTGTTGGCAAAGTAATGTCTCTGCTTTTTAATATGCTGTCTAGTTTGGTCATAATTTTCCTTCCAAGGAGTATTTCATGGCTGCTATAACCATCTGCAATGATTTTGGAGCCCAGAAAAATAAAGCCAGCCACTGTTTCCATTGTTTCCCCATCTATGTGCCATGAATTGATGGGACTGGATGCTATGATCTTAGTTTTCTGAATGTTGAGCTTTAAGCCAACTTTTTCACTCTCCTCTTTCACTTTAATCAAGAGGCTCTTTGTTCTTCTTCACTTTCTGCCATAAAGGTGGTGTCATCTGTATATCTGAGGTTATTGATATTTCTCTCGGCAATCTTGATTCCAGCTTGTGCTTCTTCCAGCCCAGCATTTCTCATGATGTACTCTGCATATAAGTTACATAAGCAGGGTGATAATATACAGCCTTGACGTACTCCTTTTCCTATTTGCAACCAGTCTGTTGTTCCATGTCCAGTTCTAACTGTTGCTTCCTGACCTGCATACAGATTCCTCAGGAGGCAGGTCAGGTGGTTTAGTAGTCCCATCTCTAACAGAATTTTCCACAATTTATTGTGATTCAAACAGTCAAAGGCTTTGGCATAGTCAATAAAGCAGAAATAGATGTTTTTCTGGAACTCTCTTGCTTTTTCAATGATCCAACAGATGTTAACAGTTTGATCTCTGCTTCCTCTGCCTTTTCTAAAACCACCGTGAACATCTGGAAGTTCACGGTTCACATCTTGCTGAAGCCTGGGTTGGAGAATTTTAAGCATTACTTTACTGGCGTGTGAGATGAGTGCAATCATGGGGTAGTTTGAGCATTCTTTGCATTGTCTTTCTTTGGGATTGGAATGAAAACTGACGTTTTCCAGTCCTGTGGCCACTGCTGAGTTTTCCAAGTTTGCTGGCATATTGAGTGCAGCACTTTCACAGCATCATCTTGCAGGATTTGGCAGGGTCAAGTGCCTACATATTTCAAGGTCCCCCATGTGAGAAGAACATGCCCAGGAATCCTAAAATCTAATTTTGACTACTTAAATATTGTAAAATTGTATTAGGGTGCTCCAGATAAACAGAACCAATAGAATATGTGTGTAACCAAATATCTTAAATTTATTATAATGAACTGGCTCTCACAATTACAGAGACCAAGAAGTCCAGACGCAGGAAAGTCAATGGCATGGTTTCTGTCCAAATTTGAAGGTTTGAGAATCCGGAGTCAATGGTGTATGTTTCAGTTCAAATCTGAGACAGAAGGCAGGAGAAGACTAATGTCCCAATTCAAAAACTTTCAGAGATTCCTTTCTTACATACTCTGCTTTTCATTCTATTCAGGAATTCAGCAGTTTGCATAAGGCCCACCCATACTGGGGAGGGCAGTATGCTTTACTTAATTTACCAATTCAAATAATAAACTCATCTAGAAATACTCTCAGTAAAACACACAGAAAAAATGTTCAGCCAAATACCTAGCCTTGAGGCCCAGTCAAACTGACACATAAAACTAACCATCACAACTGTCGTACTCTATAACAAGGTCTCTGGTTTCTGAAAACATTGAAGATCAACCACCCAAGCTTAAGTTGCATACTGGCAATGATATGATAAACAACCCATAATGATTGCAGCTGTGCCTCTGTCTTTTTTCAGAATTGTGCAGGCCCATAACCAGAAGTACCAGCCATGTCACCAAGTGTCCTGAAATGAGTTCTCTGGTAAATATCTCCCACCCTGTAGTGGTGTTTGTAATTCTCTAGTTTATTCTTAAAAAGAGAACACTTTTATGTCTCTAGGGAACATTGATATAATTGATTGCTGGATAAAACCCAAGATGGTCCAGGCAAGAACTGCCCCACTATACTACAGGTTTAATCATAGGGTGTGAAGGGCAGAACTAGCATCCTCCAGAGTGACCCTCTCCTCTTCCAGTGTCCAAATGATTCTGCTCCCAATCTCAAATCCTTCAGGGCTTCTAGAGAAGCCAAACAGCCAGGACCTGACCCTGAAGAGCATCTTGAAAAGCCTGCACTGAATCTCCTTTGTCCTAATGGAGTAGATGATGGGGTTGAGCATGGGAGGCACAAAGAGGTAGATGAGAGACACGAGAGTGTGGACAGCATGGGGCAGACCAGCACCAAAGCGGTGCACAATGGACACACTCACCATAGCACATAGAAGATGAGCACAGCTAGGACATGGGACACACATGTGTTGAGTGTCTTGAGGCGATCCCCTGGGGCGGCGATGGCTAGCACGGACCGAAAGATAAGTACATAGGAGAGAAGAATGAGGGCAGAGTCCAGGCCAAAGGTGAAAAGCACAATGGACAGTCCATAGTGGCTATTGAGGGAGACATCAGTGCATGCCAGCTTAATCATATCCACGTGAAGGCAGTAGGCATGGGAAAGGATGTTGCAGGGGTGGCAGAAAGGTAGTCTGTGCAGCAGCAGTGGGAAGACCAGGATGAAGGCAAAGCTTCAGAGGACAGCACACAGGCCCATGGCCACAATGCAGGCATGGGTGAGCACAGTGGCATAGTGCAATGGATTGCAGATAGCCACGTAGCGATCAAAGCTCATGGCTAGAAGGATGCCAGACTCTGTCCAAGAGAAAAAGTGGATGAAAAACATCTGGGCTAAGCAGACAGTAAAGGCAAGCACCCGGGCCCGGAAGCAGAGGGCAGTCAGCACAGTTGGCAGTGTGGAAAATGACACCCCCAAGTCGTTGACAGACAGTAGGGACAAGAAGTATTACATGGGCTGGTGCAGACTCAGCTCCTCCTTAACAATGAGGAGAATCAGGGTGTTTCCCACAATGGCGATGGCATAGAGCAGAAGGAGAGGGAAAGATAGCCAGGGCTCCACGGCCTCCATTCCTGGGAAGCCCGTCAAGATAAAGATGGGAGCATCAGAGACATTGATCTTGAAGTTGCCCATGAGAGGCTGGGGACAACTGTCATTAGCCAGTATGACTTTTTGGAGAAATTACATCATATGTCTAATACTACTACAGTTCCCAGGGAGGAAAAGAAACACTTAGATTCATAAGTTATGCTTATTCATAGATTTTATTCTTAAAATACACTAGGAGGATGACCAGGAGGTCATGAAATGCTAGTAGCTGAGAAAAAGAGGTCTTTCTTAGGCTCTTTCAGAAAAGAGTGAATAGGTACTCAGGGTGGTTGACTAGCTCTTTAATTCTTACTGGTGGTCTTCTAGTTGACTTCCTTATGATCATTTTCACAGCTCCCCTGCAAATGTCCCCAACATTCATAGTGATGATCTTAGGTACCTCCAAGTGATGGAAACACTTATATCCAGCCTGACAGACAGGAAACCAAGGGTGCAAGGAAGGAAAAGGAATTACTCCAGGTTTTCTTGGGAAGCAGTTACATGGCTAGAGCTGTAACTTAGTAATTCGGTTCCCATCCTGAGGTGACTTTGTGATCCAGAGTCCCCCGTTTCACCCTAGAAGCATACATGAAGGAAGCCTGGGAAGTCAGCATGTCTCAAAAGGCATCATAGTTTTGTCAGTAAATCATATAGAATCAGAACACACTGGGTTTGATTTCTGCTGCTTTCACTTAACAGCTGTATGACATTAGGTAGATTTCTTAAACTCTCTTCTTCAGTTTCTTTATTTTTTAGATAAAGATAAAATAGAGTTGCCCTAGGCATATGCATGCATGCTACATAAGATAAAAGGAGAGAGAGAGAAAAAAAACTTGAATTTGGAACATTTCCCATCCATAGTAAGAATTCTAGAAGTACTGCTATTATTATCATTTAAAATCATTTTTAGATGGAAAATAAATTATATAGTATGTTTTCTTTGACAAAAGTCATGGAATATATTTACATTAAACTTAAATATGCATTTTAGATCACATTTTATCACATAATAAATTATGGTAGAGCCAAGCAAAACTGAATTGTAAAAGCTTAAGAAAAATTAGGAGAGAAAAAAATGATAACATTAGAAACATACTATCCATTACCTTATTTTTCCTATGAGTGGTTAAAAACAGCATTCTTTAATTTCCACAATAGATCTCGGTTTTTCATCTCACAGACTTTCAAACTTCAACAAGAGTAGATGATGAGAAATGTTTCCTTGACACTGGACCAAAAGAGGTTTTGAGAAGGGGTACCAAAAGGGTAATCAATGCATCTTGCATCTTTTCCTTTGCTCTCTCAAACAGGGGAGTTTCAAATATCTGGGGAAGATACTATATTTAGGAATATTTTATAATATTTCTGTGACATGTCCAAAATCCTTTAATACACTGTGATAAGTGACTGGCTATCCATTTTGGAACTTGTTAGTTCTCCTTTGCCTCTCATGGATAATTTCTAACACTTAAGTGTAATTACCCACCACTGACTATTATTTTAAGGGACCTCTGGGGGAAATTTTGCTTTTTCTCTTCCAGAAGCTCAGTATACATCAGTGAACAATCAGATTCAAAATCAGAGAGAAATTCTCTATCAGTGCGATAAGTGTCGGGGACGAAATTTTCAGGGAATTACTGCTGAAGAATGGGAATGCTGAGTAGCAGCATTGGATTTGAAGAAGTAGGAGGATGAGCCAGATAAACCCTGGGAAAGCTGTACAATGTAATGACCTCTCATTAGTACACAGAGAGAAACTGTCACTGAGGATTTGAGAGGAGACAGTCTTAAGGACATGTGTGGGTCACACACTTCTTGAGAATCCCACTCTTGAGTTCTACTTTATCATGTCACAAGTTCTAGTATAAGGAAGTCTAGAATTGCCTTAACTAAAAGCCTCTTGCTCCAGAATAGGGCCCATTTTAGTACCTCTTTCCTGTCCTATTAGAGATGTTGCTTGAGTTCAGCAAGTGCTCTTCTCTTTCCTTAATTTTTTTTCTCAACGTTCATGCCAAAAGAAAGTGGGGGCAGAAGATGGAGAGAGAAGTGATAGAGAGAGAAGGATTGAAGGGCAGCAGGAAAGACAGAGAGTGAGGAAGAGGCAGAGAAAAGGGGATTAAATACAGGAGAAGTAACATGGAAAAGGGACAGTTTGGGTAAGACAAAGGAAGTGTAAAACCAGAGAAGGGATTTTAGGGAGACAGTGGTTGGAAAATTAAACCTGGAGAGGGAGAAGGAAGAGAAAAGAAAAAAGAAGACAGAAGAACAGTGACAGGGAAATGCCCCAACTGGACCCTGGTGCTCCAAGAGGATTCGGCTATGTTTTCTCCAAGCGAGGGCAAGGTTGTAGAAGATGCTACACACACCACATTTCACAGGAGTTGCCTCTCAGGCTCTGAACCGTGGAAGAGCTATGGTAAAGCCACAATGTCTCCCAGGTAAACCCATTTGGGAATAGGCGCCTCACAGTGGGATCCCAGTAGACACCTCTTGCTGTATTCCCAAGGTTGTTTCAGACCTGTCTGCAAAGGCCAAGGCAGCACGACTGTGACTGTGCAGGACCCTATGGGGCCTTCCTAGGGCTGACTCCTCCCCCATGTCCTCTGCCTGCCTCTTTTTTGTACAGAAGCTGTAGTGTCTGCAGACTCCTCTGTGTCACAAAATATTCAGCTCAAGAATTAATAATAATAATTGATATGAGCATGCAGTGACAAAAGTAGCAGTTGGGCTGGGAGAACTGGTAACAATTCAATCAGTCGTATGGCAGTTACAGACTCTGTAGTTCCTCCCTGAAATACAGAGACGATTGTATTTGATGCACATTTCCTGAGTGGTTAAACAGATGCTAACCCCGCCCCCGCCCCCACCAAATGGAAATGAACTACTGGATGACCAAGAGCATGTAGCCCCTGGTCTGGCTGGAGCCCCAAGATTGATAATGTTAACCCTGTGACACCATCTGATACCTCACCATCAACCAGTCAGAGACTTGTGCACAAGCTGATCACAGACCCTGCAATTCTCCTCCCTCACTTTGCCTTTAAATATGCTTTACTGAAACCCACTGGGGAGTTCTGGGATTTGAGCACTAGCTGCCCCAGACTCCTGCCCGACACCTTCCTCCAACAATAAATTCTGCACATTTACCAGCAGCCAGTGTCGGTAAATGTCAGTGGATTGGTTTTGCTGCCTGTAGGCAAGTGGACTTAAGTTTACTTTCAATAATAACTTCTCTCCTCCCAGATGAGCAGGGCTTAGCTGCCCCCACACCAGGTCCCCATGACCCCTTAGATCTTCTCCAGGATGGGTTCCAAGGGCTCTGCAAGATGCAGAGTGTGAGTGCCAAGAATATAACTAATTCCTCCTGACCTTCAGCTCTGGGGTTTCTTTTCTCCATGCCAAGTCCCCATTCTCTTCTTAAGGAATAATCAGAAGCCAGAATATAGAGTTGTTTAGAGTTGTAAGTGATAGAAACACAATAATCATCAATAATACTCTGTGTTTATAATTATCCTTGGACTCTATCAAGAAGTTCTTAAGCTTTGTCATTTTCAATCTTAACAACCAAATTTGGAGACAAATCTTCCTTTCCATTTTCTGGTGAGAGAAATGAATCGCCCAGGAGGTCAAATTAGGTTCAAACTTGTCATACCACTGAGTAGCAGAAGTGCTGGAGAAGGAAATGTCAACCCGCTCCAGTATTCTTGCCTGGAGACTCTCACGGACTGAGGAGCCTGGGGAACTACAGCACATGGTGTCGCAGAGAGTCAGACGCGACTGAAGTGACTGAGCACGAGCAGAGCTGCATTCAAACATAGATCACTCATTTAATCACTTAACATTCTCAGAAAACCTAATAAGAATTTTTATCCAGTAAAGACCCTGGACCATGTTTCATCTACCTGTTAATCATTACCATCTCTATCTTTTTTCCTTTTTATCCTTTTTTTCCTATTTAATTGATTGTCTTTCTGCTTCTGCCTCTCTCTGCAACATCCCTCAAAAACAGAGGAAACTACAAAGGAAAGGAATAAAAGAAGCTAAATCAATCTTTCTCATTCTCATGACCATAATTTCCTGGCTTTACCACAAGGATACCCGCTAAGATCTGGGATACCAACCTGGCCCCTTCCTCTGTACCCTCCACCCAGATCCAGGGCTTGCCTTGTCTGTAGTGTCACATGTGTAATTGGATCCTAGGCAGTTGAGCTTTCAAGTTTCAATGATTACACAAGTCTATGATTTTTTAAAATTTTTTATTAATACATAATTTGTATACCATCAAATTTGTAGATTCACTGTTTTTTTTTAGCATATTTGCAAAGTTTGCAGAACATTTTTAATCACTTTAAAATGAAATCCCATTACCATTAGCAGTCACTCTTCATCCTCATTTATGCCAGACCCTGGCAATAACTAATTTACTTTCAGTTTTCTAGACCTGTCTATTCTGCAAATTTAATTTAAATGAAACTTGTTTATTTATTAGAAACAACTCTTCTTTAAATATCCCTAGACAAACTTTTATGTGAAAATACGTTTTTAGTTCTTTAGAATATTTATTAATATCTAGCAATAAAAGTGCTGAGTCACTAGTAACTCTATGTATAACTGTTTGAAAAAAAGCCTAACTGTTGTCCAAAGTGGTTTCACCAAAATTTACATTCCCACCTGCAAAGTATGAAGAATCCATTTTCTCCATATGTTTCTACCATTTGTTATTTTCTGATTTGGTTTTTATTTTATTTTTGTTTATAACTCTTTTAATGTGTGGACTGATATCTCATGGTGGATTTGATTTGTATTTCCCAAATGACTAGTGAAGCTGAACATCTCTTTTGAACTTATTCCCTATTTGTCTATCTCTCTTTGCAGAAATGGATGTTCAGATCATTTGCCTATTTTTAATTCATTTGCCTTTTGTTGTTGTGTTATGAGAGCTCTTCATATATTTTGGATATTAAATTCTTTTTTATTAATCAATTTACTTTAATTGGAGGCTAATTACTTTACAATGTAGTGGTTTGGCATCCACTGATGTGAAT